CAGAGTGTTAGCTGTAGTTACTTTATGCTGATTGAATCTGGGTGATTAATATTTCTCTTTCAATGTTATATGCCTGAACAAATTTTTATATTGTATTAGAAGAAAAGGTTTTGCTTTTTCCCCTGAGTCCTTAGGTACCTCTTGAAAATAATTCTGTGTGGTTCCCATTTTAAAGTATTGTATAATTAGCAAAGAAAAATCAGATTCGTGTTAATTTTTGGCACCTTTGTTTTAGGTTTGGAGCTGTTCAGGATGTTTCTGTATTTTCCATATGCCCTGTATTCAGAAGTGGGCCAAAGACAGCCAATTTCTTGTATCTTCTTTAATGGATGATGATTTTGGAAAGAAAGATTATCCTTGGCCTTGGTAACTTTTTCTAGTTCATTGGATTTTAAGTTGTAGAATAAATGAATATTATAGATCATAAGTTGCTTTATTTGGATATTTCAGTGTCTGTGTTTGACTTAGTCATTTGGCTTGTAAAGATAAGACCTTGGTACTGTGCTTTCTTCAGCTGATATAAATACTATTTCTCTTCTCTGACAAACCACCAGACCTTGTTTTTACCTGTGAAACAGCTCCTTAATTTTGCTTTTAAAGGACTTTTCTATGAGGCTGAATGAGAATCAGTCATTTGACACTTCTCTCCTTGTATTCCTGTTAGTGACCTTAGTGTCATATTGTGTATGTTTATTACTGAATATGTTAACGATTATAGGATTTCCAATTTTATCTTCAGAAGTCTCAAAACTACATTTGTGTATTTGATATCTTTAATTTTTCTACATTTATTTTACTAGCTTTGTTTATTACTGCTGATTATGGACCTTGGGCTTCTGTTACATTTTTAGAAAGAGTAGAGAATGGAGAAATAAAATTATCTCTGTTAAGTAAAGATTTTAAAAAGTTATCTGTACTCATAACCTTGAGTGGTAGATTGTTTGTTAAGGTAATTAAATATCAGCTCAATGGTATGTATTTTAGAAATTTTGTTAACTGATTTTAAAAATTTATAATTTTATATTCTTTTTTAAACACCTCCCTCCCCGAATTGTGTAAGATACAGGCCTAATAAATCCTGGGTTTGAGTCACACTTTCCTTTATTATTATTTTTTAAATACTGTGATATTTGTAAAATTGTCATGCTGTAGTTAAAATTTTATTTATTATTTTTATTTTTGTATATGAGTGTGTTGCCTGTACATATGTTAAGTGTACCCATGTAGTACAATGTATGTGGAGGTCAGAAAAGGGCATCAGATTTTCCTGGAACTGGAGTTGCCATGTGGGTACTAGGAATTGACCCTAGGTCCTCTGTAAGAGCAGCCAGTGCTCTTCATTACTAAGCTATCTCTCAGGCCCAGTGCTGTAGGTTCATCAAATATTTTAGACATGGAAATTTCTTTGTTAAAAAACTACATAGTTTTAATCCCAGCCCTCAGGAGGTAGAGGCAGGCAGATATCTGTGAGGCCCACTGTGGCAATAATAAATAATGGCAACAATACTAACAACAACAATAATAATTCTTGGCAATCAGCAGGAGATTTTATTTGCCTGTTACTTCTGAGGATGTTGAAGTTAGTTGAGAGCAACAGTGAGTTTACTCTTATTCATAAGAAATAGAATCAGAATTTGAACTAGGATCTTAGTCTTTTAAATTTAGTTCTTTTCCAGCTGAGTCCACTCTGCTGGTATTGCTTTTAGAGATACTGTTTCCTCTTCATTGAATACATGCTTCTTTGAAACAGTTTACAATCTTGAAGTCTATGTTTGTTTTATTACTGAATATTATTTATTTGTGGTGGAGGGATTTTAGTGTTTAGTGGGTGCAGAATGAAAACAGGTATTTTGAGTTACTAGTCTTAGAGATTTAAATTTCACATGCACTTTTTCTTACTCTTGTTCTTTTTGCTTGTATTTTAAGTAGGGATTTGGGGGCTGGAGAGATGGCGCAAGGATTAAAAGCACTGGCTGCTCTTGCAGACAATCCAGGTTCAGTTCCCAACCCACATGGTGGCCTGTACCTCCAGTTCTGGGCATCAGATGCCCTCTTCTGACCTCTGGGGCACCAGACATGCATGTGGTACCCTTACATACATATAGGCACTCGCACATTCACATAAAATAAGTAAATCTTTAGTCTTTGTGCTTGGAGAGGGAAAGTATAAGTACGAGAATAATGAACTGCAGCTCTTCTCCCAAATCTAAAAGGAGCAGAAATGTAATCACCTGGGCAGTATCCTTTGTATTCTTTACGTCGCAGCTTTTAAATGGCTAGTTTCAGTATAATAAATGAAATAAGTGGCTATTCAGGTTATTAACTCACTTTGTGAGGTAACTAGAGCTTGGTAAAAATGGGAATAAGCTAGTTATTTTATGACAGTAAATTTAAGCTCTGTTTCTTCAGGATAGGGCATCTTTGATGTTCATTGTTGGCATTCATTTTAATTGAAATTTGTGTTTGAGTATACACACTTCCCAAGCTAGTGGGCAGTTTAACACATAGTGAGTTGTCTATTGACCATCCATGTCTAAGCTCATTAAAATCACATGGCCCTTTTCATAGTAGCCACAAGAAGAATATTTTTCCTTTAGTAAAGGAAAATTTTAACTCTTTCAACAAAATGTTATTTATAACACATGAGATGTGGTATTTTGTTTTTGATTTTTAAATACAAGAACAAATATCTTTTGGTTATTTTCAGCATTTGTGTGGTGGTGTTTGGAAGCACAGCATGTTCTTATGACAATGAAAACACATTATTTTTGATATAGAACAAATTTAAATGATGATCTGAAACTGTCCTCGTACAGTATCCTGACTACACAGTTGTCTGGAAAGAAATGAGCCATAGAGCATCTTTAGGAGTGATCTGTGATATCTACAAGTAAATTTTTGATAGAACTGAATATTGGCACTTCTAGTACCCAAACTTACTTATTTTGATGAAGCATTTAAATAATTCTACTTTAGTGGAGAAAATAAAATCGTATTAAGCTTTTCTTGGACTTAAGCAAATCGGATATATGTATTTTGTGTTAGACATTGAAAATTAGGGAAGTCTTTATTTCCAAGTTCTTTTCCTTCTAGATTTTTGTCATGGTTCTTGTTGCTAATAGTTAGCCTACATGTACTCTGACTGCTTTTCTATTTGCTTTTGCTAACTACATGGCCAAACCTTAAGAAAATTAATCTTTGTACAAATCTGGGTGAATACCAGAAGAATGTAGTTCATAGAGATTGTGGTTAAAAATCTTGGTTATTAGCTGGGCGTGGTGGTGCACGCCTGTAGTCCCAGCACTTGGGAGGCAGAGGCAGGTGGATCTCTGTGAGTTCAAGGCCAGCCTGGTCTACATAGTGAGTTCCAGGCCAGCTGGGGCTACAGGGAGACCCTGTCTTCAAAAGACAAAAAAAAAAAAAAAAAAAAAAAAAAAAAAAAAAAAATCTTGGTTATTAGTCAAGATTATAGCTAATGCTGCTTTATAGCTATATTTTGGATATGTGTGTTTAATGAATAGTAAGTAACTACATGTGACTATTTTAAAAGTATAAATATAAAAAACTGGTGATCCTTGCCAAGTTTTATGCATAACCACATTTCAAGTTCCATATGTTGCTGTTGGTTACTGTGTTAGATGGTTTAAGTATAAAATAGTTTCATATTTCAGGAAGTTATATTGTGTAGAGAATAGTAAGATCTTACATTATACTTGACAAAAATTAATTGAATAGAATGCAATCTTGTTTGTGTTTTTTTTGTCTCCCATGCTGATTTTAACAGTAAAACTAGCTTTAATTTTATTTTTCTTTATAGTCCAAAATGTAGGTTTGAATACAAACGATCAGAAACACCTAGTAGGTACTATTGCTATTGTGGAAAAGTAGAAGATCCACCTTTAGATCCATGGCTTGTGCCTCATTCCTGTGGCCAAGTATGTGACAGAGAATTTAAACCTCCTTGTGGCCATAAGTGTTTGCTACTCTGCCATCCAGGTGAGTTACATTATTATACTCTAGTTGTTTATGGCTGCCTATTTCTTAATGTTGTGGCAAACAAAATTATCCAAGTTGAATTGAGAATTTGTTTGCTCTAAGAAAATATTGGAATGTATTACTCTTTAAAGTATCAGTAAAGAAAATTACAGAAATTCCTGATAGATGCAGGAATTACAAGTTTTGGTACTGACTTAATTTCCCTCTCTTCATTTCTTTCTAGGTCCCTGCCCTCCTTGTCCAAAGATGATTACAACTACTTGTTACTGCAAGAAAGCAAAACCTATCCCCCGTAGATGCAGTGCCAAGGAGTGGTCGTGTCAGCTGCCCTGTGGGCGGAAGTTGCTTTGTGGGCAACATAAGTGTGAAAATCCTTGTCATGCAGGTAAGACCATACTTGTGAGATATTCTGGCATTAAACAAACTCAAAGCTATCCTTATTGCTTTTATAGTGTTTGTGTGCTAACTTATCATTGTAATTTTAGGAAATTGTCAGCCTTGTCCAAGAGTTAGTAGACAAAAATGTGTGTGTGGCAAAAAAGTAGCTGAACGAAGCTGTGCAAGTCCCCTGTGGCACTGTGACCAAGTAGGTGGTTATACTTTGTGATGGGTGGGCATTAAAAAATGCAGAAAATAATGCTTGGAAAGCAGAAGTGCTTGTCAGGGTTAGTTGAATAGCGGTACGGAAGAGTAGCAACTTGGATGAGCTGTTTCAAGTTTTAGGAGACTACTTTTCAATTTAATGTCATTTTTAATTGCTGGAGGAAAATGGTTCCCTCAAAATTACTTGCTAAATTTTGAATTCAGTGTATTGCTTTACTTGTATTGCATTGTATTGTTTGCTATCTCTCCTCCACTCCCCTTCTTGAGTTAATCCATTGAGAGAGTAGGATTAGTTTGGTGGGTTGCTTTTCCTAGAATTGGCCTGGTAGTACTTTTGGAAGCCTCTGGTGGATGGTCATAGGAAGCTGAACGTACATTTTCCTTTATTACGTTTTAATGATACACTCTCGGTGCGTGCAGATATATATGCATATGTATATGTGTGTATATAGGTATATACATACATGTATGTATGGCACCTGTGAGACATAAAGCGTAATAATGTGAAGGGCATAATGAAGTGGTAGAAAATGGGTTATGTTTTGTACAGTCTCGTTAAGTTTTAAATTCTTCACTATGCTTTTATTTTAGGTATGTCGAAAAACACTGCCATGTGGTAATCATACATGTGAGCAAGTTTGTCATGTTGGTACTTGTGGAGAATGTCCTCGATCTGGGAAGAGGTCCTGTCCATGTCAGAAATCAAGTAAGGCTTGTTTTTAGGCAAATGAGCTATTGAGTCATGAGGAGACATGGAGGAAACTCTAATTTGTATAACTAAAGGAGGCAAGCTACTTTGAAAAAGCTATATGCTGTAAGAATCTAAATATATGACTGTCTAGAAAAAAAAATCAAACTCTGGAAATAGTGAAAAAAAGTATCATTTGGAAGCAGGAGAATAGGCAGAGTCCCATGGGTTTAGGATAGTGAATCCCTTCTGTAACATGCTATTGTATTAAATACCCATCATTCTACATTTGTCCATATCCATAGAGTATGCTACACATAGGGTGACCCCTGATATAAACTATGCTCTTTGAGTGTGCTGTATTATCGTAAGGTCATCAGTTGTAATACTCCATCTCTTGGGGTGTATTGGTAATGAAGTAGGCTGTGCTGTTCCTGTCATCATGTATTAAGCTTATTTTTGGCTGTGTGTATATAAGGGCATATAGTTGGATTGCAGTTTGAGTCAGCTTTCTTGACTCTCTGCCAATAACACATTTTTAAGATTTCTAGTATGTGTCATAATATGATTGTTAAATATAAGTTTATAATGTTTTAAAGCTTGTATCGTTTTCCCTGTGAAATTGAGCACCATTAAAAAGAAAATTGTGTATATTGTGGAAATCCCTCAAAGTTTTATGTACTCATACACATTTCTTTAGATAACTGTTGAAGTACTTGGCTCATAAAAATGTTTATTGATGGTAACTTCTGTGTCAAATTTCTTTTTAACAAACATAAACTTGGCAGCACTTGGGAGGTGTAGAAAGGAAGATCATGAGTTTGGGATTAGCCTTACACAAATATTAGGGATTGTCTTCATAAAGGTAATTTTTTCTGGTAATCATGTAGATAAACAAAATTTTATAGATTGAGAGGCTGTCATTTTTCAGGGACTAAAGAACAGGGAACTTTGTTAGTAATTCATAATGTATCTTATTTAACTTTGACATTTTGTCTGCTTTCAGAGTTTTCTTTGCCTTGTACAGAAGATGTACCAACTTGTGGAGATAGCTGTGACAAAGTGCTGGAATGTGGAATCCATAGATGTTCCCAGCGTTGTCATCGAGGTCCTTGTGAAACATGTAGACAAGTTAGTTGTGTCCTGTAACAATTTCTTTTAAGAACTATGCATCAAAATATGTCAGATGGGACTACATTGTGACTGTTTTCCATTGCTTACGTTCATGTATATCTATGTGATGGTCTGAGTATGTTGCCTAATATTTATAGCAAGGAGCAGGAATGAAATCTAAAAATTACCCATTATTGTTTTTAACTGGGTTAAAGTTATAATGCCCTTATTTTTGTCCTTATTTATCTTTTTTTATATTTGCTCAATTTTTAAAGTTTTATTTGGGAATTAAATTTATTTCTGCCAGCAGTGGTGGAAGACAGAATGCTAAGGGAGCAAAAGAAAGATTTGAGACTAGAGGTGGGACTGATGATATAACAGACTTCTCAGCTGGGATTTTAGACAAACTTCCAAATTATGGGAAAGTCATAGAGTGATGTTTGGTTTAGATATTGCTACTATAGGTTCTCTTTCTATTGCAAATGTATACATACTTAAAATCAGAAATCCTATTAACAGCCAGAGTTGCACTGTTTTTAACTTAGTTTTCCTTTGTGTGTTCATTATTCTTTTTTTATTACGTGTATTTTTATTGAATTTTTGTGCATTTCATACAAAACATCTTAATCTTCTTTATGCCCCCTTCCTCATTTGGATACCCCTCCTGTAGCCCACCCCACTGGATTTCATGCATTCTGTCATATATGTTAAGGCCTATTGAGTCAAGTTAGTGTACGCAGATGTCCCTCAGTGCAGGTTTATCCACTGGGATCTAATCAGCCTATCTACAGTTTCTCCCTTAAAGAAAATCAACTCTCCCTCACTCAGCAGTAATAAGCTGCCAATAGTTCTTCAGCTAAGGTTGGGGCCTGCTGCCCATTTCCCCAGTTCTGTGTTGGGTTTTTGTCTGCTTGAGTTTGCATGGGTCCTGTGCATTCTGACACCATTGTTGTGGGTTCATATGAGCAAGGTCCCAGGAGCCTTTGAGACTCTTTGTTTCCATATAGTTTTATACCTCTTCACCTGGCTCTTTCAATCTTTCTGCCCCTCTTCCAAAATGGTCCCTGAGCCCTGGGTAGGTAAAGTTTAATAGAGGAATCCTGTACAGGGACCCACACTCTGCAGACCCTTATTGTCTACAGTTTGGCCATTTGTGGCCTTTTGTGTTCATTGCCCTCTGTTGTATGAGGGAGCTTCATTGTTAAGAGTTAAGAGATGCATTAGAATTCTCTGGGCCCCTTGTTTGACTATGTTCTGTGAACCTTAGGTGTAAGGTTCCATTACAGATGTGTCACTTAGGGTTGGGCATCTCACAGACACTTACCTCTGTACATTGTGTGACCAGTTATGGAACTCCGTAATAGTCTCTGTCTGTTGCAAAAGAAGCTTCTTTGATGAGTAGTGACTGGCATATTTGTCTGTAAATATAAGGATTCATATTTAGTATGCAGTAAGAAATTACAGTACCACACATGAGTTTCCTTCCATTCAGTGGGCTTTAAGTCCAATTAGATTACTGTGGATTTACCCTCTAAGATAAAAGTGCCCCTACTGTACCAATATAGTTTGCTGTGCCAGTCATTGTTGGGATTATTAGGTCCTAAAGCTGGGGTTGGACCATTTATTGATGTTCCCTTCTCCCTTAGCAGTTTGTATAGTGTCCTCTAAAATTGTGAGAGCTAGCTTTCAGGGAGGAGGCTTCCAGGTCAGTTCTAGCTCCATTGCTCCAAGTCCTGTGTCTGAAGTATGTACTGTCTTCAGCAGTAGAGTCTTATCTTCAAGTTCTGGGAGGCAATCAAGGGCTGTGGCAGTAACCTGTGTAATTTTGGGAATCTCTTGGACTACCTTGGCCAACAACTCAGGGAGGTTTCTCCTGTCTGGCACTGTTTCTTGTTATATAACCTTCAGCTATACACATGGACTCATATAGAGATGTTGTATGTGTAATTTTTCAGGAGGTTTTTAAACCAATATTTTCCTCTGGTTTTTCACAACAGCTAGGTATTCTCTCCCCTCTCTCCTTATCTAATTCTCCCTCCCTCCCTCCCCATTTAAAGTACCCCCATTTTCCCTATTTCATCCTTGATAATACCTGTGTCCTATGATCCCCTCTCTCTTGAGCTCTTTCTTCCACTTTACCCCCATGATTCCTTGTATAACCCTCCCTCTTTCCCTTTCAGTTAAATACCCCATAATGCTCTTATTTTCATAGTCTAGTGTGAGGTTGTTACCGGAAGGCATTTAGAGTAGTGTTGAATTTGATTTAGATACGATGGGAACAAGCATGTCTAGGTTTGAGACTTTAAAGTCATACACATTGTTTGGTTTCAACCATACTACTAGGTCAACTGACTAGGTTATTAGAAAATCTGGTTTGTTTTTTTTTTTGTACTGAAACAAGATATACAGATATTATGGTTGTAATTACCATAAAAATTGTTTTAATATATATGGACTTTTCTGTTATTTGATAATGCAAATTTCTATTGAATTTAATAACTAATATGAAATTCTTTATGGAACAAAGTAAAATATAAACAAATATTTTAGGATCTTCATCTTTGGTTTAGGTAGTTTTTCATATAAATTTGCTATTAAGATTTTTGTCCTTTTAGTAATTATAGAAATTGCAGTGTTAGGGGGAAATACTTGAATATAAAGTCCGTTTTAATGCTGTTACTTGGTGATTGGTTTAGGAAGTGGAAAAGCAATGTCGTTGTGGAAAGCATACGAAGCGAATGCCATGTCATAAACCATACCTGTGTGAAACTAAGTGTGTTAAAATGCGAGATTGTCAGAAGCATCAGTGCAGGAGAAAGGTATGTGTGATATGCTTAGGAAGCTAATTTATACATTTCTTAAAATTTGTCCTTTTGGAGCCTGTGATAAGCACTGACTTATTTCTTAAATGTTCGGTCATGTTCCTTGTTTTCTGCATAAAATAATAAATATTCTGGATTAATGATTGTTTGCATTAGTGGGAAAAAATTCTACCAGATTTTTAAATGACAAGCCTCAAATCACATGTGATAGCACACATTTGTAATTCCAGCACTCTGGACTCTGAGGTAGGAAGATCTTGAGTTTGAGGTCTATCTGGGCTACATAACAAGACCTTGTCTCAAAAAATGTCTCCTTGTCTCATACAATACTTCTGAACTTGGTTCTTAGGCTATTTCTGTCTCTGATTTGAAATGTTGCCAGTGGTGGTAGAGTGACAGTGTATTTGGTGGTTGAAGTCTAACCAGAGTTAGATAATAATAGACATTATTACTGATGCTTGACTTGGTATTATCTGACTGGAGTGTTTTGTTGAGTGTGTAGATTTGGACCTCCTCTAGGTTTCCTTTTTAATTATAAAATATCCTTTTTTTTCCCTTTGGAAAGATTCCTTGTTCTTAAATTTATTGAAATAGGGCGATAATTTTAGCTTTTTTGGTATACTGTTCGTGTATGTCCTTTTTTAAAAAAATTCTTTCAGGTTTTAAACTATTTGTATCTTTACATTTAAAGTGCATTTCTTACAGATTTTTTTTATTTACTCTGAGTTGACAATTTGTCATTTAGTTTGGCTACACACCACTTACATAAATATGATTATTTAAATCTGTTAGACCATCTTGCTAATTATGTTCTTTCTTCCTTTTTCTGTTTCTTCTCTCGTTTTTCATTGGTTCCATTTTATCTACTTCATTTGCTTATTGGCTATAACTCATTTAATTCTTTTTCTTCTCTCCTGCCTCTTCCTTTTAAGTAGTTGCTCTAGGCTTTATATTCTTATTTATTTATCTGTTTATTATTTTTATTTTATGTGTATGAGTGTATTGCCTGCATGTGTGTAAGTGTACCCATGTCGTATAGTGTCCTTGAAGATCAGAAGAGGGTGTCAGATCCCCTGGAACTGGAGTTACTGGTTGTTAGCTGCCATGTGGGTGCTGGGAATCAAACCCGGGTCCTCTGTAAGAGCAGTCCATTCTCTTAACTGCTGAGCCATCTCACCAGCCCCAGGCTTTGTATTTCTTTTTTTTTTTTTTTAAAGAATATTTTTGTTATTCGAAGAAGAGGCAATTTTTTAAAAAGTTTTATTTATTATTTTTATGTGTATGCATGTATTTTTTGCATGTAGGTAAGTGCACCCATGTTGTGCAATGCCCATAGAGGACAGAAGAGGCTGTTGGATCCCCTGGAACTGGAATTATGGACAGTTGTTAGCTGCCATGTGGGTGCTAGAATTCGAACCTGGGTCTTCTGCAAGAACAGTCAGTGTTCTTAACCGCTGAGCCATCTCTCCAGCCCAGGAGAGGCAATTTTAAACACATTGTTCCAGAAAAAACTTGAAGAAGGTCACATAAAAATATATATACAAGCTGAGCGCGGTGACGCACACCTGTAGTTCCAGCACTTGGGAGGCAGAGGCAGGTGGATCTCCGTGAGTTCAACGCCAGCCTGGTTTACATAGTGAGTTCCAGGACAGCTGGGGCTACAGGGAAACCCTGCTTCAAAAAAAAAAAAAAAAAAAAACACACACACACACACACACACACACACACACACAATATGAAGTTTAAGGATGGAAAAGCAGGGATAAGAAGTAAAAGACCAAAGAATTTGTCATCATGGGGTCAACTTTGGTGGAATAATGGTTTCCATTAGCTCTGTTCTTTTTTTTTTTTAAATCCTA